GTATGTATGTATGTATATATGTATATGAATATATATGTATGTATATGTATACATATGTGTATGTATATTTATATATATATATATGTGTGTGTGTGTGTGTGTGTGTTTGTGTCTATAAATATGTATATATGTATAATTACATGTATATATGTATTTATATATATATATATGTATGTACGTATGTACACATTGCAATATATATATTCCTTTATTATATATAGATATATAATCATATTGTATATATAGTTTTAAACCATAGAATCATATAAATGCATATATTGTTATATAAATTTATTTGGTGATTAATCTGCGGTATATCAACCTTTACACTCTGAAAGTTTCTGGGTCCTTGATATTTGATTCTAAGCCGACTTCCTTGCCCTTTTTGAATTTCTCGTGTCCAGACAACTCGTTTGTGCAGACGGTCATGTCTGAGCCGAGTAAGTGACTGATGGATATTGTTAAGTCAACCCGGGCCTATGTTGTACTCGAATATTCATACATTCCCTTGGATACCAATCAATGGTTTTTGAGGTGCGAGATCCAAGTTAGGTTAAGTTACTAGTCAGCGTGCGTATAAAAGTACATTGAGATTAAGAATCAAAGGCAACGATCGCTCGGAATGTGTATATTAAAAAACTCGGTTTATTCCTATTTTATTAGCAACTCGGTGCTATTTTTATATACTTACGAACTAAATGTATCGATGATGAATGTGTGTGTGTGCATACTTGTTGCACTATATACTAAAGTAGGTTGGCTGGATTCAATATCGATGCATCTTCATCGGCATACGTAGATTCAAAAACTTTCGCCCATTGTTACGTGATAGTATGTGAAGTTGACCTCTTTTGGGTCATCCGCAAGAGGTGTTCGTCTGTGGGCTATCATTCAGCCAGTATGAGGTGGGAAGATTTGTGCAGTATCGCAAGAATGTGAAGTGGCTCTGCACACTGTACTCAAGCCGCTACCCGTAACAAAAACCGCATCAGCTTGTATTGCTTCGGTGCTCTGCTTACGAGCCATACAATCTATAACAACGACGTCGTTAACTACAGATGTTTTCTTATGCGGGTCTGCTATGCCTGCTTTGGGCATCTCCGCCTGTTCTTTGCTTTTGTGCTTCTCGAACGTACTGACACCGTCTGCTCTTGGTAGACGTACAATAGCGGCTACTATCCCTCTATAAACCGTTGCACCAGCTTGGGTGTCTACTACCGGTCAATGTTGACACCCCGAGGTACAGATGTACCCACAACTTGAGGGGGAGGCTTTGATGATAGCTGCTTATACCCTCATGCGAGAAGAATTGATATGCAAGCTGATGCAAATTACCAACAGTGCTGGCAGATCACTTCCTCGCACCAGGCTCTCCAACGCACGAGGTGTGCTTTCCATCGAATGCAATCGGGTGTAGCGGTATCTCTTCCGCTGGCTACATGCCTTAGCAAAATGTAGTACATGACAGGGCGCACTTCACATGGTAAACTTTGCCATTTACAAGGCAGAGGTATCGGGGTTTCTACGAAGGTGATGGGGACAATTGGCTCCTGCGGGAGGGGGGCTATTGGCTCTTGTGAAATCAATAAATTGGCTGAGAATACTGCGGGTTATCGGATACCAATTTCAAACCAGCCTCAGTTTTGTCTCAACCTTCAGGGCACTTGACTTTGGATCAATTGGTTCCATAGAGGACACAACAACGTTGGAGGACATAACAACGTTGCCTGTCATCGTCTCAAAGATGCTGTCTGTGTTTCTCGGCGATGTATATTTCGGCAATACACCTATATTGTATAACGCATTCCGCAGGTTTGTCTCAGCTCTTTCATCTCTTTCCTGCTCGGCCTTGAGGGCTTTGTACTCATCTGTCACAATGAATGCCCTCCATATCTGGATGGCAAACAATGTTTTGATCTCTCGTTCGGCAGCCTGCGGTGGTGAAAGTGAGACGTGACATGAAGGAAAGATATGATTTGAGTTGTGATGATCTTTTGGCGCCTTACTAGCATTGAAAACAGAAGAAATGAACACTAGAGATGCGTTAATCAATTCGATAGGTAAATTTCGAACAGTCAAGTGTCGCAGATGACAGATTATAGCATAGCAGTGCTAAAACATTATGCAAAATATCATCTCATACTTGGCAGCTGTCGCACACACAACACTGAGAGATTTGAGTTGTAGTAAAAAGACGCTTTTGGCGAATCTTAAGACATACCCCAAATATTTTAGTAACCGGCTCATCCTTCTCAAAGCTACTGATCGTATTCCGACGAGTAGCGCACATTAAATTCAGCCTATCGCAACCATTTGGTCTGATGAAATCGTCTATCGCCTTTTGAATCTCATTTGTGGTGACTTGGTTGCTGAGACTTTTACTGCAAAAGGTGTATAAGCAATTAATTTAATTAACATGTGGAATACCCAAGCCAGCTTTAATCGCGCTGGAAGCATGCAAAGAATCCAGTGACCTAAGCTCGACGTATTTGAATGCAAGAGGCGCTAAAAAATAGAAACCAAGTTCAGCTCTTACAAATAAATAGTTGGGCGGAAAGGTAAATTCATAGAAGAATAAATCTCTTGGCGATCAGTGAGCATACATACCTGTAGAGCTCATCCACGCGTGAGAGAAATCGGATATTTTCGCCTGCGTACCTATGGTTGGCAAAAGCTTCCAAAGATGTCCTCATTTTCTGCAATAATACAATTCCATTGGAACGTCAATTGTATGCTCTCAAGGCAAACTTATAAGCTGTACAACTACTCCGTATCAAGGGATACATACAGATGGTTGGCTAACCTTGTTCTGTAGACTTGACTCCAGGCTATTTTGATTTGAGAGCATTCGCAGTGGCAATCCGGTGAAATCGATATTCCCCCATAAATGCATGCCTAAGAATTTCCTCGCGATTGCCTGGTCAAGTGGAAATCAGCAAAGAAGCAGAAGCATTACGATTACGGCCAATGTCTATGCCCTGCGTAGGACAATTAAAAGGGCACAACAACCGCAAGGCGACACTGAAAGTATTTCCTTGAAGACATGGCCAGCAAAAATGACATACTCTGAGAAGCGGCACGGAAAAGGTATCAAGCATGATCAGCCACACGAAGAACGTCGCCATGACCATCTTCAAACGAATAGTCGGGTATTGCGACAGATACAAGCCGAAGATGATTAGCTGGGTGACTGTGTTCAGAACATAGGCTCGCATGTTTTGCCAGAACTGGACGAATAGGCTGCTGCCTTGATATGTGTAGTACAAATAGTATCCAAAAGCACCGGTCATGACGGCCGTCATTGCAAAATGAATCGATGCCGGCACGTAGGGCCCACACTCATAGTATCCGCATACGATTAAGGGCGATGCTATACATAAGCACACGAACATAAACGCTGGAACGGCCACCCAAAAAGACGGGTTGAGATCATAGCAGCGGAAAATCAGATAGAAGAGCCGTTGGCGTAACACAAGGGAACCAATAAGTGTGCACTGCATGGAAAAGCAAAGCAGCACTTTATAAAAAGCGAATCCAACGTTGTCTATGAAGGGCCCGTTGGGTGCCGCCGAGCCTGGGGCGAGCACGTACACGATGTGGGCCACCGAATTCATAATCGCGAAGAAGAAAAAGAAGATGGTGAAATCGTGCTGCACCGCCATGATCTCGCTCTCATTCCAGACCAGAGCCAGCGCAATTATGAAGAGAACGGTCACTGACAGAGTGACGTAGCTCAAGATAAGTATTGTATCATTCCAAGCATCCAGATTTTCCTCATGTAATTTGGTTTCACACCACCATACTAGCACCGCTGCGAAATCCGTGAATAGTTCATGAGAAAGTAAAAGGTCGTGGTTGGAATCGTGCCAGTACACAATCCATGCCTGATGTTCCAAAGTATACATATATATGTATATTTATATATATATATATATATATACATATACATATATAATGTATATATATGTAGACACGTAATATATATATATATGTAAACATATTTATCATATCTATATATATATATATATATATCTACAAATCCATAAATCTATATAAATATATTCACATACAACACCATTGTTGGAGCCTTAGAGGTAAAGTATGTGACTGTAAAGAGCATACCAAAGATGCACATCAGAACCGGAATGAAGGTCATCGCCCATCGTGTTGCAGCTCTTTGTCGTTGTACACTGAGCAGTTGCTCATCATCGACAAATTGAAAGGGCGAGATATTGAACGAGGAGCGAGACACTTCGCTTTTATCGGCGGTTGATGGCAGATTCACCTCGAGAATAAAGGATGCCATAGTGTAGCGATATCAAGACTATGTATAGCCTTCCTGAATAATACTTAAACCGGGTATTGTTGTTTTCAAGTTCTGTTTGATAACATTTACTCCACTTGGTAATTTTATACGTGGTACTACGCACGCATATTTTCAGGCACAGATATACAGGAAATGGTGCTAGTTTTGTTAGTGATACTTACTATCCACGTATAGGAAGCGGAGGAATAACTTGATAGTTCAAGTTAACCTAATTACGAAGCATATGGAATGGATAGCAGCTTAATGCCTGAAAAACTATAAAGGTATCAGGGTAATCCGGCGGTGAACAATGATTGAAGGCGTTTTGCAAGACATTAATAGCAGTAGGGCAGCTATTTGATGGTTACCACAGTGCTTTAGTGAAGGCGCAATCTGAAACTATCTTATTTATCACGTATGACGTCCAGCATTCCTGCCATGCCAGCTAACTACGTATTTAAATATATAGTTGAATTACTTGAATAGTTCCCAAAAGTGAAAAGTCCCAAATTACGAGTTTCATGTTGTAAACCCCCCCCCACCCCCCCCCCCCACAAATATAACAAATATGGACGAAAATCGAATACATATGTAATATAAAAATTTAAAAAAGCTAATAGAAGAGAGTCAAACTGTGAGTCTGCGACTCGTAGACTCGTAGAGTACTAAGTAGTGAGTCGTGAGTTGGAGACCTTGACTCTTGTGAGTCTCGGGAGTCGGGCCTCGCCCCCTCGCGCTCGGGCAGACTACAGAGTACAGACTACAGCGTCACAGTCTCACAGAGTCACAGTGCCACGCTGGCACACACACAACAAAGTTCTTTTTATATAAAAAACAAACAAGAGAAACGGAGTCACGGATTGAACCTTTTTTATAGTTTTTTTTATTAATACAAATCCCCTTTTGAAGTCTTGCTAATGAATCCAAATTCCACAGTTCCACACTTCGACACACACAGGGGGGGAAATCTCAAAACTGAAAACTGGGTTGGTTTTTATTAAAAAAAGCGAACTAAATTTTATATTTTTAAATACCCATAATTTTAGAAGGCATCTCTTTTTATTACTATTTTTGTTTTTTGTTTTTAAAAAACAAATCAAAAAATAAGTGATCAGTCACTGTCCAGCTGTCAGTGGTCACTCACTGACTAGTGTGAGACGACTGAAGTGACCACAGGTGGGCCACAGACTCCACGGAGTCACTTAGGATTTTAGGGTTTAAAAAACATCATACTCCTGAGCTGACTTAGCATGACATAATTAAGATGGGTTTGTACGTTTTCTTGGACGCTTTGGAGACAGACCTTATTTAATTATTCTTACTAAGAATCATAGCCAAAATATATCATATTTCTTATTCCAGAATTGGCAATTCCTTATCAAATACCTAATATTTGTGCCACGTAATTATTTATTTTAAGAATAAGAAATTATATTCATTTAGTCCTTAATAATGACATTTCTTTAATTTTGATACCCTACTTATTTCATAATTCTTATTTTAATTTTGATCCTTTACTTTAATATTTCTTATTTTAATTTGGATCCTTTTTAATTAATTATTTCTTATTTCTTATTTTTTTATAGAGGATTCATATTACTTCTTAATCCTGGGGCAACAAAAGCAATTAGTTTCGGTCATGATTGCATATAATCTAACATTGTAGCAGCTTTGGTGAATGCCTAAATATCTTTATGTGTGATCAGTATCAAGTAAACGCACAGACTTACACTACTAAAGCAACAAGTGATAAAATACAGAACTTGTTTGTTTCTTAATATTCGGGTTGTTTCTTATTCTTTTAATATTTTGTTTGTTTCTTATTCTTAGTAAATATTTGGTTTGTTTATTCTTATAATCTTTGGTTTATTTCTGATTCTTTTTTTAAAAATATTTGATTTATTTCTTATTCTTTAAAAATCTTAATCGTGATAGATTGAAGTATTCCTTAATTCTTATTTCTTATTTAAAAAGAAACTGTGTTATATCTTAATTTTCCTTATTTCAGCGCATAATTCTTAAACCCAAATGTAGCTATTTTGGTGTTTCAAAATAAATCTTAATCCCAAATATTTCAGACCGGTCCATAATACGTATTTCTTCTAACTTTTACGTCAATTATTCCCCTTCAATATTTTGCTTTTAACTATGTCCTGCTAGGTCAGCTCTTGACTCCTAATTCTGTGATTCTATGTCTTGTGGAAAGTAGGAATGCTAATAAGACATAAGTCCTGGTCAAACATCTAGGAGGATAAAGAGAGTAAGAGTCAAGACCTCTCTCTCACACAGTCTCTACTCTCAGTCTCTCTCTCTCTACAGTAAGGAGTACAGACTCACGACAAAGAGGTTTGAGAGTCACCTAAACTCCAAAAAATCTAAGAAGCTATATTGTATAGTTTATAGTATGTCTTTATACGGCACTGGTGACAATACAATTATTAACCACCTCAGGCCCAGTTTCCTACCAGTCTCATACTTTACTTTTTTTGAGTTTACTTTGCTTTTTTAAGATGTAATTAGCGTGATTTTTGCCCATTTATTGCACTTGTTGTATTAGTTCTTTGTCGGCCTCAGAGGAGAGGTCGACGTATGTTAGACACGAATAGTGTCAACCGTAAAATCATGGGCGAATCCGAAGTAATAGCTAAGACAGGACGCCTATATACATGTATCTAACTGCTAACATATGTCAAGCCCTTAAGACCGACAAGGACCTAACATAAGTGCAACAAAAGGGTTGTATCCGCGCTACAATATCTAAAATTTAAGTCGCTTTCAGCCGACAGGTAACAAACAACCCGGCAGAAAACAAACACATCTCACAAGGGCTTAAAATCACGCTACACATATTAAAATACACCTATATTTGTGCAAATTAAACTCGAAAAAGTACAAGTATGAGACTGATAGGAAACTGGGCCTGAGGTGGTTAATAATTTCATTGTCACCATGCCGTATAAAGACATTCTATCATAGCCTCATTTTGTATTTTAGTCATTTATACTTAGTCATTTTTGTGTATTTGAATTTTTATTTTGTTGATATTTTACAAAAAGAGGCTATGTTCGGAAGAAGAAAAAGGGTCCAGACTCCAGAGACCAGAGGCCCCCAGCTTCCCAGGACCCAGCGCCAGGCGGGTTACAAACGCTACTTATTTGACCTATTTGTAGATCCCAGTAAACAGTATATCTGTGCATCGGTGTGTTGAGTGCGAGTATCTGTTTGTATGTGTGTGCGTTTATATGTATGTGTGTGTGTGTGTACGTCTGCATTTATTTATACATGCTTACATATGCATGTATTTATGGATATATGTATGTATGACATGTGCAAACAAACGAACAGAACAACATTTAAAAAATATTTATTATCGTATATATGTATGTATTATATGTGTATGTACATATGTATTATATGTGTATGTATGTATTCATTATGTGTGTATATATGTGCCTGTATGTGTGTGTATTTTTGAGTGTTTGTCTGCAAATATGCGTGAATTTATTTAAATCTATATATATATATATATATGTATATATATAATATATATATATATATATATAATAATAATATACTAATATAATAATA